TTAAAGAGTATTGAATATCCAAATGCGATTTAACGTGAGTGAAAGAGATATATAAAATAAAGTATTTCACTTGGATCTGTTTTGGTTCGATTTTGCAATCTCACGGACTCCAATACCGACCAGAATACCGAGAATATTTCAAATCGGTATTCATGTCAAATAGGGGAAATGGCGGCCTAAATGCCCCTTAATTTGGGCCCATACATAAATTCAGCAATCGACTGAATTTTTAATAGCGACCAAAATATCCATTAGTACCTTCCAAATGACGTGTTCATCTAGATCATGAACGATAAATTGCAGATTTTTAGCGATGGGCCCAGTCTCAGAGCCATAGGCCAACATTAGAGGCATTTCCTGTTAGAGCGAGAAGAAAAGAAATATCGATGCCACAGTTTAGCATGTGCATCCCTAATTAAGATTAGATACGAGAGAGAATCTCTCCCGCCGAGCCTTGTTGCTCCTTATATACATACAGCTGACAACCGATCGCTACCGATTGAGTCAGCTGTGTGGCAATAGATAGTAGCAAAACTATCAGTTACAATAAACCATCGCGGAAGACACTTAGTTCGTTCCGTCCTTTACCGTAATAAATGTAATTTGTGGTCGCGTAATAAAGTGTATTTTTGTTGTGTAAAAACGTACTTTTCTCGTGTGTCCGAAAGATTTCCCGTGACGGGCGTAAACATTTGGTCCTTCGAGCCGGATAAGCGAAGTCTGCTGGATTTGTCGGCTTATTTGTCCTCTCTGGTCGATTTCCCCTCGCTGCTGTCGTTTGAGAAGTCAATCTGTCTCTTGAGGTCGCGAATTTGTGGAACGTCGAGTCGATTGGGAGTGTTTTGGTGAAAGTTCTGTGCAGTGTATAACATACTGATTAATTACGCCTTTCGTAGTTAGTCAAAGTGCAGTGTAGTGCTGAAAATCACTATCAATGCACAGTGGTCCAGAATGCAGATTTAGGTGGAATGATATGTTTTGAGCCTGAAATTGAAACTTTAGACTAAAAGTCTCTGCTACAAAGTTGTTCCTTAAAGGTAGGCCCTCATTTTTATGACAATGAATTCTAGGGTGGTTCCTATTATCATTAAAATCAAAAATCTAACTTTTTTGTTTGAATAAATTAAGGTAAACATTTTTCGGCAAAGTTATAGCTGAGCTAATTTCAAGCAACTTTATTGTAAATAACTTTTTTGTACCTCTTAAATTGGCCGATTTAGAGCTATTTTCTTGAATTGAGTTAGGGTGGTTCTTAAAAAAACAGTTGTTTTGCTCTAGTTTTCTTATTTCGAATTTCTTAGCAAAGGTGTCTTCAAATAACTTTTAGATCTTAAAAAGGCGCAAATTTTTGCTGGTCATGGAGAGAGCTTCGACGAGCACATTGATAGGAATGTACAAAGCGTTACTACCATCAGCTGTTTGATGATCGTGATTGTGATAGGTCGCAACTCTGGTTAAGTCAGCGTATGACTGGAAACGCTAGCGTCAGTCAGCAAGGTTTTCTACGAGGTTCGGGAACGAATTGAGCTGTTGATGGACGATGTTGATGATGCTGATGCTGACGAGGAAACGCAGGAGAAGGAATATCTGCTAGCTTTGAGTAGTTTCGAGGAGCGATATTACTCCGTGAAGGCCAGTTTGTTGTCGAAGCCGAGGGGGGCGACACATCTAAATCTCAAGTTTAGATGCTCAACAAATCTCACACTTGCGAATCAATCTTCGAAAAATCTACTTTCATTTATCGCATCTACTTGCATCGCGGATCATCTTTTTGCAGGAAATCTTCAGAATCGTCATCAATCTTCTCGTCCCCCTCGGTCGAAGCAGACCACACTATCATCTACATCGATGTCTGTCGGAAAAGGTCAACTTGGTGACCGATCCGAAGCATGATTCTCGAAGGTGAAACTTCCAGAAATTCGCCTTCCTTCTTTCGGTGGGAGGATTAAGGAGTGGGTTACGTTCCGGGATAGCTTCCGCAGCCTGATCCACGAAAACAAGCACCTAACCGATATGGACAGGTTCAGTTATCTGAAGTCAGCCCTGTCAGGAGAGGCCCTGCAAGAGATCGAGTCGGTGGAGCTTTCGGCTGTGAATTACAGCGTAGCGTGGAAGGCGCTTGAGTCCCGCTACGAGAACAAGAAGCTGATTGTGAAGGCACATCTGGATTCCCTTTTTGCCGTGGAAGGCTTGAAGCGAGAAAGCTACAACGGACTGAGTAATATCATCAGCGTTTTCGAGAAGAACCCGCAAATGCTAAGGAAGATCGGCGAAGAAACTGCTGCATGGAGTACGATTCTCGTGTACATGGTGTATTCCCGGCTGGATCCTGCCACTCTACGGCAGTGGGAAACACACCACAATTCAAAGGGTGTACCGACGTACGAAAACCTGATCAGTTTCCTTCGAAGTCATTGTGCAGTGCTGCAAGCCGTCGCCCCAACGAAGCCGAGCCAGTCTGATCAACGGTCGTCGAAGTCATCCGTGTGAGATCTTCAAGCAAGTGCCCATTCTGCAGTGGATCGTGGCATTCTGCATTAGTCTGTGGCAAATTCCAACGTCTTCAAGTTTCCGAGCGCAGTGAAGCTGCGTTCAAATCAAGGTTGTGCCTGAATTGTTTGAGTCCTGGTCACATCGCACGAAACTGCGAGAAGGGTGTCTGTCTTCACTGCCAACAGAAGCACTACTCCCTTCTACATGGTGCATCAGCTAGATCCTCCGTTCCACAGTAGCAATCAAATCCTCCGACACAAATCAGACGGCAATCACAATCCAAGCCAACAAACTTGAACCAACAAACACACAACGCTAGTACCAATACATCCACCACATTGCAAGGACAAAGCACTCAATCAACAGCCACTCAACCACTAGCCACAAACACAGCCACACCTTCCACAAGTCAAATACACATCGCACTCCCAATCACACCTACACAGAACATCCTGTTATCAACCACTCTAGTCAAAGTTAAGGACCGTCATGGCAATTCCATGCTGGCACGAGCGCTGCTGGACTCGTGTTCCCAGCATTGCCTGATGACGAAAGAGTTTTCAAGCAAACTTCAGTTCCACGAATCGCCGTCATATCTGTCTGTTCAAGGGATCGGCTCATCTACGAGCACTTCAACAAAACTCGTCAGTGCTGTAGTAAGGCCGAGGTTAGATCGCATTTCATCGTTCGTGCAAGAGATGCAGTTCCACGTCCTCCCACGGTTGACTATGTCGCTACCGACTGCAACCTGCGATATCAGTGGTTGGACACTTCCGGAATCGTCATCTTTGGCTGATCCACGCTTCTATGAACCTGGTCCTGTAGATGTCATCATCGGGGCGGAATACTACATGGACCTCCTGAGGAGTGAACAGCAAAAAGCGACTGAAGACGGACCCACATTGCATAACACAAATTTTGGCTGGATAGTTTCCGGAAAGGTTCCCGAGCATACACACTGTGGATGTCATTCTCTGACCCTCGTATCATCTACCACCGAGCTCCAAGATCAACTCGCAAGGTTTTGGGACCTAGATACATGCCGAAACTTTAGTACGCATTCTTTAGAGGAGTCAGCGTGTGAAGAATATTTCACCCGGACAACGATCGTAGACGAGACCGACAGATTTATTGTGACGATGCCGAAGAAGGAATCCGTAATTAATCGGTTAGGTCATTCGGAGACCACAGCGATAAAACGGTTGATGGACATGGAATGGCGTTTCGTTGCAAATCCAGAGCTGAAGACGATGTACGACGAATTCATTCGCGAATATCTTGCACTTGGACACATGAAGGACGTCACCGAGGAGGTCGGAGAGGTAGGAGTAAAAAGGTACTATCTACCACATCACGCTGTTCTTAAGCCAGACAGCACGACTACGAAGCTGTCAAACGTCTACCGGAGTTTCATGGTTGGTCCAGTAGTACAGGATGATTTGCCTAGTATCTCGCTACGTTTCCGCATGTACCGTATCGCAGTCAACGCCGATGTCGCCAAGATGTATCGCATGGTTGAAGTTCAACGTCGTGATCATCCGTTGCTGAGCATCAAGTGGAGATTTGCCCCTTATGCTCCATACCGCACGTACGAATTAACCACTACGGTACGGTACGTCATTCGCAGCGTTTAGCAGATAACGGAGCGCTAACGCATCCTGTAGCGTCCAAGGTGGTCAAGAAGGACTTCTACGTTGATGACATGCTCTCAGGAGTAGACTCCATAGAAGAAGGTAAACAGTTGGTTCAAGAAGTCATCGAGCTGTTGGATTCAGCGTCTGAAACTTCCATCAAGACATTGGGTTTAGTGTGGGAACGTAGTTCAGAAGTTTTCCGTTTCACGTTCCCATCGTTCAACTGGTCGGCAACGATTACGAAGCGCTTGGTCGTCTCCGATGTTTTGCGGTTGTTTGACCCGCTTGGTATGGTTGGCCCAGTTATCATCCAGGTAAAGATCTTCATCCAGGAACTGTGGAAGCAAAACTGCGGCTGGGATGAACCACTTAACCAAGAACTTCAAGCGCAGTGGAAAGAATATCGGCGGAATCTAGCTGCACTAGAAAACCTTTGCCGTTCCCCGATGGGTAAGAATCGGAAGTCACATCGTCACCACGGAGCTTCACGGAACAATATCCGAAACGGGGGAGTTTACTTTATTTATCATTCTCAGTCATTTTAAATCACAATTGAATGTTAACGACTTTTTAAATCTTATTTAAAAAAAAATACTATCACTTCCGAAAATACCGAAAACCTAGCCTAATGACAATAACACTTTATCCAGACCTGTTTATCCTGACGTAGCTAACTATCTCCATTGGCATCAATTCTGATTATTTTAAAAGAAGTCTTAATATAGGATTTCCATAAAATACGTGGTCTTCAAATAAAATTATTTGGAAAAGTTCAACATCTCTTAAATGACTGAAAGACTCAAACGATTCAGCAGAATTTTACAAAGGCTTCTAAAACCAAAACACAAAAACAAAACAAACAATTCCACTCACCCGAACCATCTTGCGCATCTCGTCCTTCTGGATCGGGTTGACCTGGGTCGTTTCCCGGAGCCACCGCCTCAGCCAGTGCCCCAGCCACACCAGGCCGCAGTCGCACTGCATCGGATTGTTGCTGATGTCCAGACCGCCGATGACGCTCCGGGTCCCCACCGCGTCCCAGGAGCTCGCATTCGGATAGAAGCTATCGGGCGCCAGCGCCGCCAGCAGGTTATCCGACAGGTCGATGCTGAGCCGGGGGATGTACTTGAGGGCGTAGAATATGCCCGGCGGAAGGTCGTTCACCAGGGTGTTTCGTATCCGCAGCTTCAGGTCGTGGTTCCGCGCCAACCCGACGAAGGCTTTGTGGTGGATCGACACCAGCCGGCGGCCGGTGATTTCCAGTAGGTTCAGCTTGGTGATGGTGTGCATTTTGGCCGTGAAGAGACTGTCGTCGAGGTGTTCTTCGTACACGGTGACGTAGAGCTCCTGGAGACCGCGCAGCTTGGAGATGAGCTCGGAGAAGTTGTGCTGGGAGTTGATGCGAAGTTTTTTCAGATTGTGTAGTTTAATGAAGATGTCCGGATTGGTGATTTTGATGTCCTCGATGAAGAGTTCTTCCAGCCGGCGGTTTTGGGCGAAATCGTGGAAGGAGATCTTTCGGATGGGGTTGCGGGAGATTTCCAGCACGCGGATAGATTGCGGTAGGTTGCGGAGCAGGTTGGTGATGTTGTTGATTTTATTGTCCTTGGCGTAGACTTCTCGGAGGTAGTAGAGTTCTTCGAGTGATTCGATCTCTTGAATGTGGTTGTGACTGATGTCGATGGTGACAAGCTGAGGCAGTATCAGGGAGGGCAATCGGTACAGGCCGGCGTGCTGGAGGTGGAGTTCATGAAGGCGTGGGACGTTGAGGAAGATTTCCTTAAAGTTCACCGTCAGGAAGGGGTTCCAGCTGAGATCCAGGATGGTGAGATTGTTCAGATTGGCTAGGGCATTGTCGGGTATGATTTTGATTTGGTTAGAGGAAAGGTTTAGCTCCAGCAGGAATTGCGTGCTAGTGAACATGTAAGAGTCGAGGAATTCCAGCAGATTGTTGCTAAACTGGATAGAGCGAAGGGTGAATCCGATGTCGGCGAATGCTGTTGCCTGCCAGGCCGCGAACAGGTTGTTGGAAAGATCCAAATATTCGATACGCGTGTTTAGAAAAGCATCCCGTGGAACCGCCCGAAGGCGATTGTTGTTCAGCTTCAATAGACGAAGCTTTTTCAGTGGGGAAAATTGCTCAATTTGGAGCACTTCAATCTTGTTGTGGCTCAAATCGAATTCCTGCAGGTTGGCCAACCCGGCGAAGCTGCGCCGTCTTAATGATGATATATTGTTGTGAGCGAGGTTGAGAATTTCCAGTATCTGTAAATCACCGAAGGCGTGATTTCCGAGCGTGGTGAAATTGTTCCAATTGAGATAGAGGATGCGGAGGGAGTAGGCCAGCGCTTGGAATACGTCCGCCTCCTGAAGCAGATTGTGGCTGGCGTCCAGTGAGTAGACATAGAGCAGAGAGTTCACATCACCGTCGAAATTATCGATCGCATTGTTGCTAATATTCAGCCTCATGGGGGTGGTGGCATTCGAAACGTGCTTGAACATTTTCAACGGGAACGAGCTCAACTCGTTGTACATCAGGTCCACACTGAGCAGCGCCGGCAGGAAACTGAACGCACATTCGCTCACGTTCTGCACCCCATTGAATGACAGGTCCACGTACGTCAGGTAGGGCAAATCATAAAAACTGTTTTTCTCGATGGTTTTTATTTTGTTCGACGACAAATTTATGATTTGAATCAGCTCCAGATTATCGAACGTGCCGGTGTGAAGCGTTTCAATCTGATTGAATGATAAATCAATTTCGACGAGATTTTTGTGAATGTCCGAACGGAACACCGTACGTGGCAGGATGGTGATCCGGTTGAATGCAAAATTCACGTACGTCAGCTGGTTCAGAGTGGAAAGGGCCTCGTCAGGAATCACCTTTAGATTGTTATTATCGAGCCCAAGCCACATTAACTCGGTTAGCACGCTCAGTGCGTCCATTGGATATTCCTCCCGATAGATGCCGAACGAGAGCTCCAGGATCTTCAACGTGCCGGACACATTATCGAACACGTTCGGATGCACGTAGTGAATGTCGTTGAAGCTCAAACTAATCTCCTTAATCGTGTCCAGTCCATTGAAAACCCCATAATTGAGGCTGGTTATTTTATTGTTCCTCAGCAGCAGTGTCTGCAAATTGGCACCCCATCCGACGAAATCGTTCTCTTCAATTTCCGCTATTTTATTGTAGCCCATATTCAGATAGGACAGCTCCGTGCAATTAGCGAGTCCATCCACCGGAATGGAAGTAAAATTATTGCCACTCAATGACAGCACTTTCAACGTCGGCGGCAGCCGATTCACGGCCGTCAGTTCATTTGATGTCAAGTACAGATACCGCAATTTATTCAAACTACTAATCGCATTCGGTACCACCAACAGCCGGTTCCGTTCCAGGTCCAAATACTCCAGCGTGTGCTCCAACGTGGCAAACGCTTCATCATCGACCGATTCAATAAAATTGAATGCCAACACCATGTGCACCACCCCCAGATCCCGGAACGCCTCCACCGGTATGACCCGGATGAAATTCTTATCGAAATTGATAGCCTTCACACGAACCGTTCCGTTGAACAGCCCTGGCGGCAGCTCGTCTATCAGGTTTACACTCAGATCCAACTTTTCAAATTTGATCCGCGCCCCTCCCAGCTCCACTCCCACCAGCTTCCCGATCAGGTTGTCCTTCAGCGACAGGATCCTCAAATCGTGCAAATGTTCCAGCACGGCCGCCGGAAACGCACCCAGAATGTTTTTCGACAAATCAATCGTCACCAGCGATTTCGGAAAAGTATTCGGACTTATGTGCGCTATCCTGTTGGAGCTGATATCCAGCCACACTAATTTTTTCAGCTTGGCAAACGGTTTCTGCTGCTGTTGTTGCTGCTGCTGGGATTGCGTTGGCAGCGGAGGCGTCTGCAGTGGTTGCAGCTGGTGCTTTGCGGTGATAATCGAAGACGATGCCTGAAATGTCGGCACCGTATGATTCGACCGTTTGTCCTCGTGCAAAAACAGCGACAGCTCCGAAATCGAATTACCGGAAATGTGCAAACTCCGCAACGAATCCGCCAGGCTACCCCAGTTCCCGTCCAGGTGGTGAATGTTGTTTCTGAAAGCAAACCAAGCAGAAAAATATCGGTATCATTTGCATTGGCAGGTGGGCGAATTTAAATCTAAATTAGTTTCGGTGGGAATTTCCCTAAGCTCCTAATGCTTGCTCAAAGCTCTAATCCGTACCCAAAGTTCAAGGTAGGAAAAATGCTCTCCAAGCACCACAATTGTTTAAGCTCTGGGTTTGGCCCGACTCCACACACTTTTTATGATGGAAGCCTGGGGGCAGTTTTCGGGTTTCGTTCTCTGCTGAAACAAAAAAATATATAGTGGAGTCTTAGCCTATACAGTCTACCAATGTTTGCTCCGGTCTGATATCCTACCAGGGAGGGGATTTTTATTTTATTCTCGGTGCTTGGATTCCGTCTCTATAATTGGAAGGTTTAGATTGTGAGGATTTGAGAGATCGAGTGGGTCTGTCTTTATTTGGATAGTGAAAGGTGAATCCGGTAGTATTAGAGTGGTTTTAAATTTTGGGGAATTTTAGAATTACAAGTCAAGCATTGAAACAGGCTCTTTTGAACTTAAAGGGGGAGTACACTTTGATTTATCAAAAAAAAAATGCAGTTTTTTGGCTTAAAATGTTCCTTGGGATGTATACTCCAAGTCCGCCAGAATATTCCTTACCGCTTTACGAAGCGATTTCCTAAAACATATACCGGCGCGCTGAGAGAGCATTTTTATCTTTAAACGCGTTTATCTCGAAACGGGGTTTTTCAAACTGGCTTGGGAAATAACTCTAACCAGTTATCATCAAATTTGGATATCGCCTGAGTTTTCTTGTTCAGAATTAAATTCTGCTTAGAAATACGTATCCACATTTTCGATTTTGTCAAAAATGGATTTTTAATACACGATTTTGTAAGCATTTTTAGGGAAAAAAAAAATTCATTACTTATCACGATTTTTGTTCGATTTATGTTCCAGGATCACATGGAAAGGAGTATTTTCCCACGCCGTTTTCCGACTTCCGCGCGAGGACGCCCGCGCGACCTGGTGCACCGGCCACGGGAAGATGCCAATCGAGTTCAAAAAAATACAAATTGTAGTTCGAAGGATGACTAAAAAATGGTTTATAACATATTTGCCCTCCCTGAGTGTTTAATTGCTTAAAATATTAAGGAAAATGCCTTACTTTTTGGACGTTCAAAGTGTACTACCCCCTTCATTGCAGTTTCTTGATTGAACAGCCACATAGTGCTACCGATTTTTGAGCTACTTTTTTTTTTTTTTCCTTTATTTTAACGTCGGTCTCTGTTCCACAATCTAGTGCCAATCACCGACGGACATCGATTGCCATCCATTGACGGCAATCGAATGTGCAGGAAGGCAGCTTCCACACCTGCGTAGGATATCGCACCCATTCAACACACATGGTCCGGGACCAACGGCTTTACTTCCCTTCCGAAAGAAGACGTGACCAGAGATTTTTATGCCTCAGAAAAATCCCACCGACCTCGGCTGGGATTGAACCCAGACCCATCGGGGTGTTAGAAAGCAGTCACGCTTACCACTACATCACCGGCACCGGCTTTTGAGCTACATACCAATCATTATTTGAAGGCAAAAATACTACTGATTTTCACACCGATAAATACCGATGTGTGATCGTTTTTTATCATTGGCCAAACAAAATCACCAAAATCTAATGAAAGGTAGCGTGATAGTTAGCGCTAGATCGAAAAATTTTTAGACAAATTTGTTAACAAGTTCGTTTTTTTCGTCAAATGTAGCTCTATTGTGCACCAGCTCTAAATTAAAGTTCGGAAGTCTGACTTCCGACTTCCCAACCTACTTCCGTCTTTTACTGAACTAATGTATAGTCAAGATTTCTATAGTACGGTTAATAGGGATCGGCATTATCGAATACACGTACCATATGGGATTAGAGCTAATTGCATCTTATTATAGGGTAATTCGAAGAGATAACACCTGCTGTCTTCTGTTGTTAACAAAATAGGGGGAGGGGGATAGCATCCGTAAAATCACAAGTCAGGAAGACCCGGAACATCCGAAAAAGTGTTCTATTCATGAAACTGATCCTAGAGGTCCATGTTTTTTTCGAATCCGCTCATAGACATCTTTTAAGAATGAATTCAGATTTGAGACCCAAATATGAACCCAGGAGACTACGTAATGGTTCACTAGAAGATCTGAAATATCAGTAAAAGTGGTCAAAGAATGAAACTTTCATCCACTCTTTCTTCAAATCCTTGTCGTTTTTGAAGACCTTCCCTGTTTTCCGGAGCTTGCCCTTCTTTTTTTTTTTTATTCTTCACTCCGTAAAGGGTGGGAAGCCATAGAAAGAGGTCCCCCAGCCACATTGCTTGAGTATCATGCTACTTTAACCTTTGATAATCTAGTTAGTTAAAACATTTGAAACAGCTAGTACAATAACACAGTAAACAGCATACGAAAAGGACAGACTAAAAGGATACAAAAAAGAAGAACAAAATATAAAATGAACAAAACAAAACCAATAACAAAACATAGGTCCACTGTAGGAGGTCCTTGGGGGCCCATCCAGTGGAGGGATGTCCGGTCGGCTGAAATAATCGATGGTTCTAAATCCTGCAGTATAAACACTTAGAAATTATCACCAACTTCGGTTATTTTTAACGAAATCTGAACAGCTGAACTGTTCGGTAAAATTTATGCAATTCAATTCAATTGCTTTTCAGCTACTTTGAAACTAAATCTCCACTAAAATGACAAGATTTGATCATTTAAACAAGGTTGAACATGTTTTAAAATTATTTTCAAATTCAATAGCCTTTAAAATGAAGGTCAAAGTTCTACCGAACATTCAGCTGTTCTGATTTCGGTAAAATTTACCGAACACGGAATCAAAATCTTAGTGTGTAGCTCCGCCGCCTTCAAAAAGCGCAGTACAGCTGCTTGAGTTGAGGGCACATTTGCTAGCCTGTTCCGTACGCTGGCAGGCAGACCGTGTAGGCAACGAAGGTGCTCGAATTGTGGACATACGCATAACACGTGCTCCACCGTCGAAGGAATATTGCAGAATTCACAGGTCTTCCTGAAGGGTCCTCTGCTGAAATCTTGTGAGATTAGGGAGTGTCCTGTCTGGAGTCTGGAAAAAATTCTCTGATCTCGCAGGTTTGCAAGGTCCGTACACTTTCCGATGTCACCTTTAATTTTTCTAATAAACGGAAGTCTGGCACTGAACCATTCCGTTGCCCACACTGTCCGCACTGTGCAAGTGATCCATCTCTTTCCGTCCTACAATGGTACCTTGTGCGAGTACCGAGGACCCGATGGGCCTGACCCGGCTAGGTTGTCCGCCTCGATGTTCCCTGGGATTCCGCAGTGTCCGGGAATCCATGCGTATGTAAAGATGCCCTAGATCCAGGGGTGGACCAGGTCCTCCGACGAAAAGGCCTGAATAACACTGTGGGAGTCCGACAGGATCAGGATTGGGCGATCCGCAGGAACCGTGACGGCATGACGAATAGTCGCTGCTTCTGTCGAGAACACCGAACATTGTTTTGGCAGACTTCTACTCGTTGGGGAAATGTCACCAGCGATTCCCATTCCGACTCCAGCTCTAGATCTTGACCGGTCCGTGTAACGATGCATGTAGTTTGGGTACAATCCGGTCAGCTCTGCTACCCATCTCCTAAGGGCTACGGAATTGTCCCCGGCTCTGAACTTCTCCTTTATCCGGCTGTCGATGTTTGGTGCGGGAGATTGCCAACTCTTATCTCCGTACCAGTGAATCTTGGCCACTCTGGGGAGCTCTGCGTTGGAGATTGTACGGAGAAGTCTGTCCCCCTCGCTGAGGAGGCAGATTCTGTCGTTTCCGGTGGTATTTGCTGAAAATGCAGCGGCTTTGTTGGCAATGGCTGCGTAGATGCAGTACCGGAAAGAGAGAGTGCCGGCTTCGACGTGGGTAGGAGACCGGAGATGATGCGCGTGTAGCTATTGTACACCGGAGCGAGTATTTGTATTGCCTTTTCGGTAGCGATGCACGTCAGCTCTAGTCCATACATCAGCCGGCTGTCTACGATGGCCCGGGCAACACGGAAACGTACTTCTCTGTTGTTGGACCGGTGGGGACGGGAGATTGTGTGGATGAGGTTGATCCTGCTGCGACAGCTGGCCTTGACGCCTTGAAGGTGCTGGTCAAAACTCAGCGATCGGTCAATGACAACCCCCAGCAGTTTCACCGTTTTCTTCAATGGGATAGCTTGATTACCGATCTTTATGGGAGGTCCGCAGACCCGATGTCGGTACTGGCAAACGTGGCACCTAGCTCTCTTTCCAGTAGACAGCTGAAAACCTTTCAAAGCGGCCCATCTGGCTACGGCGGAAACCCCTGCTTGGACTCTAATCCTCGTTCGTCCTGGAGTTTGACCTGTGGCTACGATTAGCACGTCGTCTGCATACACGAAAATGTACATGATGGCTACCAGGAACAAAGTGACAGCGATCATAGAACCTTGGGGAACGTCGGTTTCCTCGCAGAAAGTGCGGGATTTGGTATTACCTACCGAGACTCGGAAGGATCCGCCAGTCAGGAAATTTTGGACGAAATGGATGATATGGCCGCTAAGGCCCCAGTTGACAGGTTGCTTCAGTGCCACGGGCGTCCATGTACGGTTGAAGGCGTTCGAAATGTCCAGGGAAACCAACTCCGTATGGAGACCATTATCCTTGGCATCCTTGAGGAGCACTCCTAGCGTCGCAAAATACGTAGATGTACCGTGGCCTTGCCGAAATGCGTGTTGGCGATGGTCTAGAAAGCCGCCAGACTCGAGAAACTGCTTCAGTCGTCGGTTGATCATCCGCTCGAAAACCTTTGCCATGCAGCAGGTGAGCGCAATGGGTTGGAACTTCGCCACATCCCGTGTCGGCTCGTTTCCTTTAGGGATGGGGACAACCAAGCTTTCCCTCCAATGCTCTGGATACGAGTCTGTCTGCCAAAGCTGGTTGAAGAGTTCCAGCATTTTTACTCTACCCGGGATAGGCAGGTTCTTGAGCACCGGGTAGCCGATCTCGTCTGGGCCGTCTGATTTCCCGTTGCTTCTACTATGCGCAAACTGAAGCTCCTGCCAGGTGAAATCGTGGTTGATTCTCAGGTTGTTCGTGTCCGGAGAAACTCGAAAACTGCTTACGGACGAAGTCGATGGGTTTGCTAGCCGTTGAAAGGTCGCCTCGTACTTGGAAATCGCAGAGAGGTCAGCGAAATAGTCACCAAGCTTATCTGCAACGATTCCGGGGTCGGAGACTACAGCGCCGTCTACCTGTATATGCAGTGTGGCCGTATGGCGCTTGCCACTGAGGGCGTTGACCTTACCCCAGAGTTCCGCCGAAGACTGTGAGGCATTTATGCTTTCGAGGAAGTCCATCCAACTGGATCGTTTGGCATCTTGGACCAATTGGCGACACTGGTTGTGCCGTTCTCGATAGATGCAGAGCGCGTTTTCCCTATCCGGATCATCTATGGGAAGTCGTTTGACTCGTCGAAGGGCTTTTCGCCGGGCCTTAACTGCCTTCTTCGTTTCCTCGTTCCACCATCTGAGGGCTTTACGCCCCGGAATGCTGCTGGTTTTTGGGATGGTTTCTGACGCAGCTGCGTTTATTGGTTCAGTGAGACTCTCGATGCTGTCAGGGTTACGTTGTTGAAGGAGCGACTGGAAGGTTTCACCGTAACTCTCCCAATCGGCTTCGTCCTTCATAATCGCCCAGACTTTCTATTAGGTGAAGTTCTGGCGAGTTTGGCGGATTTGCCACCTTCGACACAAAAACAACATCGTTGGCTTTGTACCACTCCATCACCGGTTTCGTGAAATGGCACGATGCCAGATCCGGCCAAAACAGAGTGTCACCTTCGTGGGACCGGAGGAAGGACAGCGGGCGCTTCTGGAGGCATTCTTCTTTATATATTTGACCGTTGATGGTGCCGGTTGTTATGCATGGCTTGCTGAATATGCCGCACCTACAGATCGTCCTTTTAACGTGAACCTGACCTAGCACACGGCCGATGAAATTAACCCAAATTTGAGTTCAGTTTACTCATAAAAGTGCAGGAACTCAGCTATGAGTAAATTTGCCTTATGTTTTTCTGTGGAAAACCTCAATAATCTGCTGGAAAATGAGGAAAATTTACGAAAATTTTACTCAGTCTAGGAGCAATACCAAAAGACTGAGAGAATCCAATCTTAACTTTTCTCATACTCGGATTTTTTTCCCCTGGGACAACCTGAAAATCATGTGGAAAATTAACTCATCCCTAAGTTCCTGCACTTTTTGCAATTTATAATCATACTAACCTCAAATTTTGGTCAATCTCATTGGCAGTGAGAGTAAATAAAATTTTCAAAAAAGGTCTTCTATGAGACATCACTACAGACTGCAAAAAGCGCTCGTTGATGTTTTCGCACAAAACGACGAGATTAAAGGGCGAACACGAAATTATTGCGACACCGAAAATGTCATGCCAATTTTCTTATAATGTTTAGAATCAAACCAAAATTTTAGGGTAGTTTAATACATATATTTACTTCAAAAATCAAAAGAAAAGTTAATCGATGGAGCCTTGAGTGTAAAATTCAACGCATTTTCGCTTGATGCCCTCCATCAAAGTCTTTACAGTGTCATCCAGTTTCCAGTTTCTCAGTTTTTTTTTTTTTCCATTTTCTTAACATGTCCTTCTTGTCTTTGACTGTCTTCTTGCTCTTCCGAAGTTCCCGCTTCATTATTGCCCAGTACTGCTCCACCGGGCGCAGCTCCGGACAGTTTGGCGGATTCATGTCCTTTGGAACAAAATGGACAGAATTGGCTTCATACCACTCCAGGACACTTTTAGAATAGTGGCATGATGCCAAATCTGGCCAAAATAGCGGAGCTTCGTCGTGCTGCTGCAAGAACGGCAAAAGGCGCTTCTCGAGGCACTCAGATTTGTAGATCTCGCCATTTACTGTGCCCTTTGTCACGAAAGGCTCACTCCTCAGTCCGCAAGAGCAGATGGCCTGCCAAATGAGATATTTGGAGGCGAACTTCGACATTTTCTTCTTCTTAAATTTGTCGTCCACATCGAACTTGCTCTTGCCGGTGAAAAACTCCAACCCCGGAAGTTGCTTAAAATCGGCTTTTATATACGTTTCGTTGTCCATCACACAGCAGCCATATTTTGTCAGCATCTTCTCGTAGAGCTTCCGTGCCCGAGTTTTAGCCGTCGATTGTTGCCGCTCATCGCGGTTTGGGAAGTTCTGTACCTTGTAAGTATGTAGTCCAGCTCTCTTCTTTGCATTCTGGACGTAGCTCTGCGACATGTCGATCTTTTTAGCCAAATCACGGCTTGAGACGTTGGGATTTGCTTTAATCATCCGCTTCACCTTTCCCTCCGTCTTTTTGTTCTCCGGTCCCGGTTTTCTTCCAGCTCCTTTGCCGTGGTCCAACGTCAACCGCTCCTGGAACCGCTTCAACACTCTGGAGATTGTTGAATGGTGAATTTTCAACATTTTTCCCAACTGCCGGTGCGACAGGTCAGGAAATTCCAGGTGTTTGGAAAGAATTTGTTCTCTCAACTCGCGTTGGTTCACCTCCATTTTCGTTGAATCGAAAAACACGACTTCGAGTTTGACAGCATGTACACAATACACATCAATGAGAAAGTGTGCAAAATTTGGTTGATTTTTACCCAATGGTAAAAAAGTTATGCCCTGTTGAATGTGTCGCAATAATTTCGTGTTCGCCCTTTAGTATTGTCGCATTAATGGCCCTTCGATCAGTTTCCATATTCCCAGAATATTCTATTGTTAATTTTTTTTCCATGCTCCCAAAACATTCTCTAGCTAATAAATTATCGCACTACAACTTCATGATGATTAGCATATCCGAAGTAACATTGCTAGTTTTATAGAAATTTTAGTGCATTCTACAAGCCTGAATTGTGGTCTACAAAACCTTCATAAAGCCAAAATTGTTACTTGGGATTAGTTTCCAGCTTTCCATGCTCGGTAATGGTGTCCTATTTGTATGAATAAATCTATCCTTCACTGGGTTTTTTGACACTATCTTCACTGTAAGAAAAGACCTGCCATATATCGAATGATTCGTCATACGGTGTGTTAGCAAATGCCAATTTCTTGTTTTCGAATGAAACCAGCAACAAGTGAAAAGGATGCCAATCATAAAGTGAAAATCATTTTTAAAAAAGATGATCATAGACATGAAACTTGTATGAATTAAAGATTGTTTCCGGAATGTATCAAACAAAAAGAACTTAAATCTGAGAGATAAATGTATTATCGAAGGCCCATAACGAGAATAATTCATTTTCATTATAAACTGTTGAAAATGCACAAATTCGACAATTGTTCAAATTGAATTTTGAGTTTCTGTAGGCTGTTATCTTCAACGATGGGTAAGTTTTAGTTTAGTTCATACTTAGGTTGATATTAAATTAATTAATATGGCTTCAATTTACGATAATTACACAACAGTGCAGTGCAGATCATTGTTCGCCACATAATTGTGACGAACACTGGAGGTCGAGTAACGTTCCTAAGCAGGAGATGCAGGAACGGTAGCAACGAAAGTTGCTCTATAACGATGCAGTTCGTAAGGTCGACTCTACTTTCAATTATAATATGTAGGCAATCACGCTTAAATATATGTAATTTTTGACATTTTACCTATTTTCAACAGACAATATTGCTACAACTATCATTCAATATAAATAAGAATAGTATTTATTTAAATTATTATTTTCATTTGATTTACGTTCACCTATGCTATCAAAAATTGAACTAAAATCGTCCTAGATTAGAATGATAAGCATCCAAGTTTTCGTGGTTTTAACAGATGATGAACTGCATGACAATCATCTCAAAATCATCTGATAATAGTTATAGGGCTTGGATGAAGCAATAATCATTCGATCAAAGGATGATGTTTTGGTTCAGTGTTGAGGATCGGGGTATGACCCTTCCCTGTCCCTCTCCCAGGAACAGAAGAAAATGGAACAACATACGTCTAAAAGCACAGTGAAGGATAGATTTATTCATACACAACAGGCCGCTTTTACCGAGCATGGAAAGCTGGATAGCATGCCCCCCCCCCCCCCCCCCTGGTCTGTATGGTTGTATGAGAAAACGGGAGAGTTGCCAGTCTTCTTAGTATGTTGTCGTCGGTATTAGGGTTATTAGGGATCATAAAATAGAAATATACTCAACAATATTTTACCAAAAACTGTGCGCAACATTTCTGTTTATACTCAAACTAGATTTACCTGGTATACAGTTAACTAAGCGTCATGTAAAAATAATGAAGTAACGATAAAATTTCACTTCTATCTAGCTGAAATTCAATACATTAAAAAAATCTGCCTTAGCCCCTCTCCACAAAAAAAGCTATCCTTACTACGCCAACGCTGCACATATCAATTTGGGTGCACCTTTACTTACCTCTGTGCCACTAATCGGCTTAACGTGTGGACATTTTTCAGTGAATCCAGCGGCAATCCTTGCAACTGATTGTCCGAGATGTCCAGTGATACGAGCGAGTGCTGCATGAAGCTGTAACGAAAGCAAGAAAGAAATGGAGCATGTTACAGAAAATTGAAAAAAAAACCTTTCGCCCCCTCCCACCCCAGGGCTACATCACAATCCCAATATGTACGGCCAAACACGCCCATCGGATTTGTGATTCCCAGCGACAAAAATCATAAAATCCCTCCGTGATGGAAAATATTTGATCGCTTGGAAATTGAATTTCATCCCATATGCCGGATCCGAAGCGAGTGGCCCAAAATGTGCCGAAAGACATGCAGTAAGGTGTGGTATTTACAATCGAACTGAGCCTTTCCGATTCAGTTCCCTTCCGGTCCGGCAAGCATCAATGTCAGTTGCAGCTGCTTCTACTACTACTACTACTACTACAACTGATGTTTGGCTCGACAACATCAACAATAGCACACAAGACGCTTGGACACGGGAACAAAGGACAGGCGATAAATCCTAAACACCCTTGGTCGGAGCAAATGCTAAATTTTTCGAGGAAAATCCGACAGGCACACATAGAGAAACACCCATTCCCATGGATGCTGGCTCAAAGCAACGGAAATAACGAAATCAGCGGGATTCTCATTCAAATCCGGTGATTCGATCTATCTGAAGTTTTATTTTTTTTGCGCAAATAGCTAGGAATAACTTTACTTCTGTTGGGAAAAGTAGGTAAAGACGGACGCAGTATGAAAGATGTCCATCACTTCTTATAATTTATGAAAATAGTACCGTATGCGTGATAATGTTTGCACTATCGTACAAATAAGGTTCCCGTTTCACCTGAACATACAATGCCTTGGTTTTCTTTGCATGCACGTAACCTATAGCCAGTGATGCCACATATACAGATTTATCTGTAATCATACAGATTTTTTAGAATATTGTGATATATAGATATCTGTGTATACAGATTACAGATTTTTAAAAAATATACAGATTTTTCTGAGTTTTTAAATAAAGGGAGTGTATTTTACATTATTTTTTATATTTATTAATTACGATAAATAATCATTTTTTTTCCGTTTAAGCAACTTCAATGCAATCTGAGCATCAAAGGCAAATCGTACTTTTCACTAATTTTTTTTTTAGCTTCCAATGGACCTGTAATCTTTCGAATGGACTTCGGATGTTCAGATGTTCTAATTTCTCTTTGGAAGGGATATTAGTTTCACTTTCTATTTGTTCAATTAATCATATCACATGGTACATCACATATAACAAGTTTAATTAAATATATGTTTTGTCAAATTTATAAACAAGTCATTTTAGAAAACCAACAAAGTGGTTGATTACAATTTGTGAGTCGAAGAGTCAACTGGAGTTCTGGGTTATTTAGAATGTCCAGATAAAGGTTTTCGTAGCAGTGCCGGTGGTGTAGTGGTAAGCGTGATTACCTCTTACCCCAGCAGGCCTGGGTTCAATCCCAGTCGGCGCCGCCGGATGTTCTGAGGCATAACATCTCTGATTACGCCTTCCTTCAGAAGGGAAGTAAAGCCGTTGGTCCCCGGTTCATGAGTTGATGGGTCGATAGGTAGGGTCCAGGTGTGGGAGCTGCCTCCCTGGCGTCGGTAGCATTGGTGCTCAGCACGGAAAACAAGATCGACGGAAAACAAACAAAGGAAAAAAAAAAGGTTTTCGTAATCTCAGACATAAACAAATATTTCTAGGGAATTGTGATAGTTACTCCATTAAGGAAATTTTCAGCCAAAAACAGAGTTATCTCTCATAACTGGTACTTAATGTCTTGTATTTTCAGGCTGTATATTTAAGAGAAACAAAACACTTGAAGATTGTATGATTTCAAGATTTTTAAAATTAACAAATTCTTTAGAAAGCAAACTTTAGTCAGATTTACGTAAATCTGCACTGAGACCATAATACGAAAATTATACAGATTTATTTACAGATTTTTGTCAGCCAGATACAGATTAAAAAGATTTTTTGCGATGAAAATATAGATCTAAATTTAAAAAAAAATGTGGCATCACTGCCTATAGCTCATACCGTTGGGTAGAGAACTACTTCGGCCTAATCGCCCATTTTAGGCCTATCGAGCAGAAAACTTCAAATAAATCCATAATTTCAGAGTTAACAAGTCAATTATGCATTTGGTACGATACTTTGGTTAATAAGCTACCGAACGAAGTCAATGACAACGCGTGATATGAAGGTTTGCACCCATTATTCCCAAAAACAAAAGAAGCGCTCCGACCGAATCAATTTTTATCTTCATCCGATAGGCCGAAGTGATTTCAATTGCGTTTCAAAGGCGTTTCAATGCGTTAGGCCGAGTTTAGAATCCGTATGCCGAGTTTGGCGTCAAGAAGCAGTGTTAGATTTTTGACAATATCTCAACGATTGGTTTATCTTTATCAAAGCTTACGGTACGTACGGAGAGGTAAATAAATTTGGAAGCCATCAGTAATAATAACATTCCGTTTGGTTCTAAACTGCGCTAGATTAAGAAAGACTAAGTGCGGGTTGTGCTTAATAGGCCGGAAATGGGGTAGCTAACCCTAGTCGGCTGTGTATAAAAGAAAATGATTTACTTAGTTTGACAGTTGCACCATGACGAAGTGGCAGCGTATTCGTGATTTGTCCCACGCGCAAATGTCGCAAAAAGGCATTTCAATCGCCGTGGGAGTGTCCCGTCATAAGGGTTTTAGACCGAGAAAAGAAAAGAAAACTATCCGCGAAGGTGGCCACAGGTCGCCCGAGGTCAGCTCGGGTTCCGAGGGTTATCGCTGCTATCAAAAGGAAGATTCGGGTGAATCCAGTGCGTTCAATAAGGAAAATGGCAAAAGAACACAGGATCAGTGACTTTACGGCACGGAAGATCGTAAAGGAAGATTGCGGGGCGAAGTCGAGGGCACGGTAAAAAAACTCACATGATTTCCAACTGCATCCGGGAGCTACGAGTCGAACGATGCAAGAAAATCTTGAAATTCCTCAAGCGAAAAAATCCGGTAATCCTGTTCTAAACGCCACCCGAGTACAGCAAGCCTCAGACAAACATTAACCCGTACCTGGAGAGAAATGGACCCAGACTACATTATAAGAACCTGCCGTGTATTCTGGAAGCGTGTGGAGGCCGTAATTGCATCAAGTGGAAACTCGATCGATGATTAACATAGTTTAAGACTATGAGAAACATCCACCAATACAATAAAAAACTTGAAACGATTTTTTTTTTAATTTTGACATTCCTCAATATGGAAATTTCATAATTGTTATCAAAACATGTTTATAACACGAAAAAACAAAAACATTACTTGTATCGTATATTGGAGTTATAATTAGGCATGGCAACTCTTAATTGCTTATTTATAACACTTTTATAACTGATTGTTTTTGATGAAAACTTGCAAGCCTTATATACAACATGTTTTCATATGTCATTTTTGAAAACATGAGTACTACTGAAACATAACTTATCAATAACATGTTATAAATAAGTTATATCTCAGATGTATTCATGTTTCTAATAATGACATATGAAAACATGTTGTACATAAGGCTAGCCAGTTTTCACCAAATACAATCAGTTATAAATAAGTTATAAACTGGTAATTGAGACATGCAATATCGAATTGTAACAATTGCTTGTCAGAAAGGTTGAATACTTCACAAACAACAATGCAACGCGTCTAAAACAGGATGTTTTACAAGCAATGAATTTATAACTGATTAACAACTGGATTTTTCTTTAATTTTTCATGCAAGATGTTGCAAGTGTTACTTGGGAAGCCAGTGTAGACTGCAAACAATGATTATTACAATGTTTACTTACATACTATGCATTAATTCTATTCTGTTTTAGCTTAGTTTTTATTTGCTGCTTGGACATAATGATGTCAATTGTTCTGCAATGCAAATTAAACAGGGACATCATACATACATCATACATACATACATACATACATACATACATACATCATACCATTGGTAGGGCTATTTTTTGCATAGTTTGTTCTGTACGATTTTCAGAAAAATAAATTCCTTGTTCTAAGATATTGACAAGGTGTGTCAAAGTTTAATTGTGCGAGAATTTCTGCCGAATCTATGCGCATTGGAATAATGTCATTGATGAAGAAAAGGATTGCAAATCGGTGGCGCTCCTAAAGTGTTTGTATATTGATGAGCATGCAGCGCGCTTCATAAGATGGTAATGGAAATACAGTCGAATTCAATTCACGTAAAGCATATAAAAGGAATTGTTTTTGGGCAGATTCTATGCGTTCTTCGTTTATAGAAATATGTGGATTCCATACTAGGTGGCAGTATTTCAGAATTGGCCTTACATATGTGGAATATAATAGCTTAATAGTGTATGGGTCTTCGAAATTATGACTGAACCTTTAAACGAAGCCAGGCATTCTGTTTGCTTTACTAATGATAGTATCATAATATTCTATAAAGGTTAGTTTGGAGTCTAGGATTACACCTAGATCGTAGCCAGAGATGAACCAGCCGATGGCTGAAAGTCTCTTTAATAAAGAAAGATAAGATAAGATAAGATACACCTAGATCCCTTACAATTTTGCATTTTTCTACTATTTGGTTACCTAATGATATTTCAATAAGCGGTGTTTAAATTTTTCTGCTAAATGCTATTGTGGTACATTTTTTTTTTACGTTCAGTTCAAGTAGACTTTTACCAGGTGTGGAATATATTGATTTCATTCTGGAATTCTTCTGGATCGCTAGAATTACTTATTTACATAAAGAGCTTCATGTCGTCTGCATATACAAGCAGTTTAATTTTTTGAAGTATGTAGGAAATGTCGTTTATGTACAAAATAAAAAGAAGTGGACCTAAATGAGAACCCTGGGGTACCCCAGAGGTGACTGAAATTGGTTCTGAAAGTTTATTTTGAAAGGGAACTATTTGTTTACGATGTGTTAGGCATGATTGAAGCCAATTCAAAAGTCCAGGCTCCATTCCTTTTTTTGCAATTTGAGGATTAATAATGGTATGTCGATGCGGTCAAATGCTTTACTGAAGTCGGTGT